GGACTGCCTCAGAATAATAATGGGACTGACTATTTAAGTCTCCGTCTAGTTTTCTTTTCCTTTACCTGTTCAATTTTGGCCTGCTTACGATTAGACTGTTAAATGGACTTACTGCTCAAAGTCATTCACTCTGTTCATCCTTTGAGCTATCGATCTAAAACGCTGGGAAAAGAGAACCGATGCTTTTTCACTGTTTAGAAAGTAACATTCCTCTCTTTGAAAGTATCTTCCCTTAGCGTCATAGTCATTATCATTGTAAAAAAAGATTCGCCTGTATTTCAAGTTATCGAGTCGCTATATTATTATAAACCTCCGACATTCAGGGTATTATTCAAAAGGTTAAAGACATCGAAGGCTTTGCAACATCATGAATTTGTGACCACCAACTGGATCACCCCTGCTATGATTTATTTCCCGTCCATTTCATTTATTGTATTATTTTTTTTGTTTTATTAAACTTCCACATTTCTTCAGGTAACCTGCTCATATAGTGAGCCACTCCCTCGATAACAGCCCAGTAACGATTATTCTCTTGTCCTCAGTTATTCGAAAGGTGCATAACGTTATCCATCGGATAAGTCTCTGTCCACTGGATAGCGCAATTGGTTTCCCTAACACTTATCCTCTGCATAGTGATTTATCCCGTGGATAGCGCTATCCAGCATTTGAACAACCGGGGCTTGATCAGAAGAGACAGGTTCAGAATAATACCCACTGTTCTACCAAAAATATGTTCTTTTCCATTCCACAAAAGCTAACGGCATTTTTCTCTACTAACCAAGCGTACATTTTTTTAAAATTAGAACTCCCCATAATGTGCGACCAACTCTTCTCATAAGCCAGCGATCACCTATCCAAAATACCAACATTTTCCCAGTCAAATGGCTTTTAGTTGGAATCTCTTTTAAGCGGCTGCTTGATGCATGGTCTGATCTCTATGTTCGCTGTATGTACTACGCTACTCAGAGCATACAAAGAACTTTTAGTGGCAACACGGAGTTTAACATATCGTAGCCTAGAATTAAAATTGCATGCAGTAAATTCTCCTTCAAAAGAATATGTTTCGGGGCCTCGGTGGTTCGATTCTTATTAGCGACCACTGAATCTTTGCATTTTGGCTGGTCTGTTGAGGTCACAAATGTCATAATTAATTGGTGCCAAATGTAATAGGGTTGTTAGTTGTGACATGAAATTGGTGCCAAATGTAGTAGGGTCCCAAATGCAATACGAAATCGGTTCCAAATGTATCAATGAGGAAGGTCACAAATGTAATAAAAGGGATCACCTTCGTATTACGTTCTTGGTCACAAACGTACTCCCGCGAACGCGGGTAGAGAGAAGAAATACGGGTGGAAATACGTTTGCGTTCGCAGCAAATTCATTTTTGCCCCATTTTGTGTTATGTCAATGATAATGATTCAAGCCCTAAACACGCTTTCCACCAACATTCAGTACGTTTGCGACCTACCACTGAGAATATTTGTGACCAATTCCTCACTACAACTGCAAACTGTACTACATTTATGACCCACCCCACCCTTATTACATAATCAAGTAACCCTTGTGACCCATTCCTTATCACAGTGTGGTGACCCTTATTACATTTGGCACCAATTTCGCATTGCATTTGGCACTACCACCAGTTATTACATTTGTGACCTCAACTAGTCGCTTACGGGAGGTTCGACTGCATCAAATTTTGAGCCTTTTAAGGCATGAACTCTGGTCGAGTCAAGGTGTGAGTATTTTTTTTTTTATCAAAAGTCATAACTCATTCTCAAGACATTTTCTTATCTTGTTCTCCTACAGAATTAAGAGCTTGGAGGGCTGTTGCAATAGCTCTTGTTTGCACTGTTGCGTTCTCATTTGCTTTGATCTGCTTTCTGTGCCGGTAAGTTAACTCTAGAAAAAAATCATTGATGAAAAAAATTCTTGAAGCTGAAAATGCTTCCATTAATGTAATCCAGTAATCAATATTGAAGCAAGCGTTTCCTTGTCCATCCATCATTTAGTCTCTTGACAGTGAATTTTTAATTGAAAAGGTTTTGTTTACTGAATTGTTAAAGCAACAGTTTAAACTGTATGAAACTCTGTTTTAGTCATTGCTAATATTTTTAAATGATTTATTGGGCAGAAAATTCCGTAGACAGCAAAACTCTTCTCAGGATAAGAAAATATAGGAGTGGCTTAATATGCTAATGGTAGAGGACATGATGGAAGTCACGTGTCTCTTCAAGAGGAGTACCGTAGATTGTTGTGTACTGTAGTGTGTGGTGTGACATCAATTGTGCAGATTCCGTTTGCTGAATGCGGTCATTAGAGTCCATCAAGACTGAGTTATACGTAGAAGAATCTTCAAGTTTTTCCAAACAAAGACCTTTCTCAGCTAGAACTGTACGGTGTCAGCTCACACTCTTCCATGAAGCCAGCCGTACAATTCAGGAAGGTATCGCCCGCCCGATCTCCGACTTTCTGCGTAACTGGTTTCTGACTCTGTATATCTGAATGTTACAGACGTTTTAATCAAACGCATTTTAGATCAGCCTCAAAACTCTCTGGAGCCTGCATAGCTGGCGAAATTGTCTGTTTGTGCGCGTGAGAGTGTTGTCAGTGAAGCCGCCATTCGCCGCTATTAGCCGCTAGAGGCAAGCTCAAGGCGTCTCTTTCCCATTCTCCACGTTGCTTCCAAACTATTCTTCCTTAGTGCGTGCACTGACGATATCGCCAGCTCCGCGAGCTAAACTGTCTGAAAAAGGTCTTTACCTTAATGATAATAAGGTATCCAACACTTATTTAACACTTTGCGTCGGTAACAAAGTTGTAATTGCACGAAAAAAGGGCCAATGAACGACTGTTGTCAGAAAACCGATTTCGGATAATTAGTTATTGAATGAATAATAATGATAATAATAATAATAATAATGATAATGATAAGTATCAGAACAATAAGTAATATTTATAATTTCAAAATTATGTCGTATTGTTTACAAATTAAAAAGGAAATATGTGTCCACGATAGAAAACTATTGTGAATAATATAAAAGTGGGAAAAGGAAAATAAAGCATTACTAAGAAGAAAACTATCAAAAATCTAGGCCTATAAATAATAATAATAATAATAATAAGTAGAGAGATTTATATCACTATGTATAAGCTTTTAGTAGAGATAGCGAAGGTTTTACAGAGTATCAGAATTTAATAATATTCTAAATTGGCTTTTTAAGTAGAGAGATTCATATCACTATGTATTTTAGGATTGTATTAGGTTTCGTATCGACCTTTTTTTACTTCTAAGTATAGCTTCTCAAGTGGTGTAGGTTACGCTATGCGCCCTATACTACTCATAATGTGGACAGCATTCCAAAGTTTCATACTGCGACATAATAATAATAACAATAATAATAATAAGGGTTTTAGGATGCCACGATGGCAACGGTCGGAACTCTGGCGGAAAAAAATTTTAAAAAAAAGATGTTATCTAACAAATACATAAACTAAGAAATTTCCTTAGGGGTAGGACTTTGCTGAGTCCAGATCTGTCTTTAAGCAATATGAGCTTGCTCTTGACTTAGAGCATCTTTCTGGAGCTTTAATTGGCTGCATGTCTTTATAATATATTGTTGATCTGTCATACGTGGACGGATGAAGAAGGCTTCAAACCCTTGCTTATAGAAAAAAGCCCTGGGGACGAGTTTGCTCTCCCCTAGCAGACTCAGTATCTGTTGCCTAGCAGCCTAGAGCTTATTACTTTCCAGCGTTCAAGTTCAAGGTCAAGTTCAAGTTCATTTATCCACACTTATCCAATTACAATACAACAGCAATAATAAAAAAAGAAGTTAAAACAGAGTTAACAATACATTGAATTAAACATAGCAAAGGAAAAAGTGTATAGCAGCCAAAGGAGCCAAGCTTTCGAGTTGGCTACTACCACACAGCGGTTACAAGTGGGTGGAGGTTATACAGTACTTATAAAAAAACTATTTAAATTAAATAGTTAAATAAATAGAGCTAAATAACAGATTAGAGTTGTTCAAGATGCCTGACTGTCAAGTATAAAGAGTTTATATTATTTTTTAAAACTGTTCGAGAGGAGACACTTAATTTTCATAGGTGTTGCTTTCCAGGTCTGTGATGCCACTACACTAAACCTTGCTAGGCGATAATTAGTTCTGGAAAACGGTCTGCACAGGTTTTGATTAGTGGCATACCTAGTAGTATAATTATGGACAGCTGAAGCCGGCTGAACTAAGTCATAGAGGGCAGGACGTGTTTCCTTTTTTTGATATTGAATTTTATGCACAAGAGCGCCAATTTTTAATTTAAAGATATCCTCTAACTTTAAGATTTCTAATAGTGTAAAGTACGGTGTGGGAATTTCTATTTTGTTTGTAAAGAAGATGCAGAGAATACAGTTATTTTGAATTAATTTGATTTTATTTAACTTACATATATGAGAGTATAGTAAAGTTGTTTGAGTGTACTTATAGGCACATAATGTTTAAGCTTAAATAAGATTCCAATGTTTTTTTGTTATTTTGTTGTTAATGTGCTGGAGCTGAGCATCCCGGTTTAGATATTCATTAATAAAGGCACCCAAATATTTAATCGGCGACTTTTGCTCTATATTACAAGCTGTTATTCTGATATTTTTTTTCTTCTTAGGTGAAGTAATTATCATGTAATTAGTCTTCTTGAAGTTAATGGACAGCATATTTGCTGCACAGAATTTTAAGACGTTTCCAAGTTCTTCATTGATAACTGATTGTAATTGTTCTGGGTCTTTTGAAGAATAATACATATTCGTATCATCTGCAAAAATCCTAAAAGTCAATTTCTTCGAACACCTGGGCAAATCGTTATATACAATAGAAACAGCAGTGGACCTAGTGTGGAGCCTTGAGGTACACTGCATGTGACGCTTTTCAGGCTAGATTCTGTATTACCAACTTTGAGATATTGCTTAAGATTGGTTATGTACCTTGAAAACCATGCATGGGGAAGTCCTCGGATCCCATGCTGATATAATTTTTCCAAAGGCCTTGGAAAGTCTAAAAAGATACCACATGTTTCATGTTATTTTTTGATCGTCAACTGCTGACTTTAATTTTTCCACAGTTTCTAGGATGGCATATTCAGTGGAATATCCCTTTCGAAAGCCAAACTGGAAGTTAAAAAGTAGACATTCTTTTTCTAGATAGGACACAAGTTGGTCATATACTAGTCTTTCCAGTACTTTACTAAAGGGAGAAATAACTGCTATTCGCCTGTAAATTCCTAACTCAGATAGACTACCACTTTCAAATATTGGGGTTACTTTTGATATCTTAAAGATTTCAGGAAACTCCCCTGATAATATTGATTCATTATATATTTCAGTAAAGGGTGCAGAGAGCTGTTCAGTTGCAAGTTTAATAAGCTTGTTAGGAACTATAAGGGATGCTTTGTTTTCTTTTAGCCCAGCAAGTAATGTAAATGCTTGTGTTTGGGTTACTGGAGCAAGGTAAAAACTGTTTCATGGCGTAGATTCGATATATTGCAAAGGGTCTGTATATATGATCAGTTTTGATTTCCTTTGCTAAAGTTGGCCCAATGTTTACAAAGAGGTTATTGAATAATTCGGCAATGTCCTTTTCTTGTTAAAAGTCTTGTTATTGTGAGTGATTCTCGTGGGGAAAGTTTGACCTTTGGTTTTCCCTTTATTATTTTATTATTGTCTTACTTTTATTCTTAAGATGTGAAAGAATAGCTGCATAATGTTTATATTTCCCGATTTTTTGTAAGTCCTTGCTTAAGAAATGTGTACGGTACATTTTCTGTTTCCTTTTTACCGATTTTAGGATACCCTTAGTAAGCCATGGCTTATTAAGTTGCCTTTGCTTTCTTTGGCTAGCCAGCTTGATAGGCGCATGTTTGTCTACAATTTTATTCAGGGTATTGATTGCCTCCTGTACTTTTTCCATAGCCAAGCAGTGTTTAAGAATGTCATGTAGACGAGAATAAATCTCGTTCTAAAGCTATCCGTCTGTCTCACGTGTGTGGTAAACTAACTATTACAGCAAGTAGTTTAGTCAAGGTGTGGAGCCAGTTGTAAAATCTGGGCATATTGAGACACCTAGCAGTGCCTCTGAAGAAGGCTTGCACTTTGCCTAGTCCCTGTACGGCGTTCTCCCAGTCCCTATCGGTCAATTCACATTTTCGCTTGGACCACGTGACCCGAAACGCTTTGGCCAGTGATATATAGAAGCTTAATGGTCGGTAATAGTTCAAAACCTTAGAGCGTTGTTTCGTTTGCAATTTTAATGGTAACTTAAGTTTTGAAGCCTTTGTTAGATCTTTTCGTCTTTATAAGTTGAAAACAATTAAAGGGAACCTCCACTTCAACAAAAAGATAACTTTAAATCACAGGAAATAACTCTTACAGTCAAGTCAATCTAAAATATTTTTAAAGAAAGCGTTTGTATCCGAAAGAAATAACTTTTAGATTCGCCTATTTTTGTTTTCAAATTTTGCGGGCGTCGCCATCTTGAATAATTGTGACGTGTAATGGTTGCCAATTGTTATTAAACAAAAGCTCTTTGTGTCAGAACAATAGAGCAACCGTAACACGTCACAATTATTCAAGATGGCAGCGCCCGCGAAATTTGAAAGTGAAAATAAGCGATTTTAAAATTCACTTTTCCTGATATAAACACTTTTTTTAAGGCAAATTTCGAACAAATTTGTTTATCAACATAATTTTATTCGATTTCAACTTATTCTGTAGTAAGAGTGGAGGTTCCCTTTAAAACTTTTGTTGCGCCTCTTTTTCACGGCTCTGAATGGAATTTATTAGAGTTTGGATGAAAAGATTCCCTAACGGCAAATATAATGCCATTGCGACGGAGTCACAGTAGATTTGTGATCCGTCGGACTTAATTAACTTAATTCACTTGAGTTGTCCATTCTTGGCGTTCCTCATTCTTTGAATAACAAAACAATTTCAATTTAGGATACCTACTACGCGTAAAAGGTTTTTTTTTTCAATACCGTCACGGAACTGAACTTCAGTCCATTTTCTTGTGTCCTTTACATAGATCCGTCTTCCTTTTCTTTTCGTCTTCCTGATTTCTTAGTTGTAAATTACTTTATTTTTTCCTCCGCCCACCTCGATTACATGTCGATTAGCCAAGCTATATGCGACAGCCAAGCAGAAGATGTTTTGTTTGTCATGTGTGTTGAGTTTAATTTAATGATTTCATTTGAATCTGCTATGGATTTGTAGAAAAATGAAGAATTCAAATTGTGCAGAATCTCGGAAAGATAGCATTAAACTAACTAAATAAGACATATTACAAATATCTCCCCTCCAGAAGATGTCTATATCCAAAACTCCCCCCCTCTCAGTTTGTACGACGGCCCAAAAATATACCCCTCCCCCCCACCACCACCACCATCACCAAAAGAAAGTCAGATAAAAACATCAAAGCTATTGAAAAGAAATAATTTAACACTCTAGAGCTAATATTATTGAGGTTATTAAACTTTTGATATTTTCAAGTAGAATACCGCTTGCCAATAAACTATAGTCCAGTTTAATGATATCTTTCCGAGATTCTCAGAATACTCTCAGAATACTCAACAAGGAAGCTGTTTGTGAGGGCAAAATGCGCACGCACTTCAATATTGAAATACGGAAACCGGAGAGTTATCTTAATTAAAGTAAACTGAATCTTATAGCAGAATTTAATATGTCTACTTGTCATTTTTGCTGATCAGGTCTTTATAGTCAAGAAGAACTTCTGTCCATCTTCTTGTGTCAATTTATATAGATCTATCTTTCTTTTCTTTTCCTTTTCTTAATTTCACCCAAGTAAATTACTTTATGTTCTTGTCTGCCCGCCTCGATTAGCCAAGTTATATGCGAGCAGAGGATATTTGTATGTACAGGCAAGTATTTTTGAATTTAAAGTAATTTGATTAATTTGAAACTTCTGAGCCGTCTTGGTACCTGTTCGCTCGATCCAATTACACCCACACCAGAAAAATTTGAAACTTCTGTGGACTTGTTAAAAAAAATGAAGAAGTTAAAATTTAGAATGTGAATTGAGCCGTGTTGGTACCTGTTCGCTCCAATTACACCCCCACACCAGAAAAAAGTCTCACAACCCCTCTTTTCTTTTTCTTTTCTTTTCCTTTTTATTTGTTTTACGAATAGTGGCACTCACTTTTCTAATCGCTTCTATTTGCCCTTGTCGTAAACTTGTCGTAAATGTTCGGCCCATGCTCGGCCACTCAGGCCAGGCTTTCAGACCGGGCTGGTGCTGAACTCCCAATGTCACGCAGCTTTTACGGTGGGTCACAACACAACGTGCCGTGAATAGATTTAATTTGATTTTAAGTGGAGCGAGACAGGAGAAATTTGCTTACAAGTAAAATCTATTTATCTCCTATTTTTTTTTCCCTTTGAACCACAAGTTGATAGCAAGTTAATAGTTTTTAACAATCCAGCTGTTAAAATATAGGCCTCTGTCACAGAATTATTTCACGGCGATTGACTTCATTAGTTAAATTTTATTCGTGTCATTTCTTGTCTCTTCAACCGAAAAACGAACACAGCATATACTAAAATATTTATGAGCAAAAAGCCAACTTCTCGAACAAAGTGTCCTTGAAAAGCAAAACACCGGCAAACTCGTGTTTTGATTGGTCGACCTAAGATTGAAGTGTCCGATTACCCGCCAACTTCACAAAAGTGGACTGTGCATTTTCTCAGAGAACAAAATCTCTTTTATATCGCCTGAATGTTCCTGCGAGAGAATGGCCGCATGGTTTTCATTCTGGCTTGTACTGAGTGGTTTTTCTGTGACATTTCTCGCCGGTGACAAATTGCATCGTTTGAAGTCTGCGGCCTACGACGAACTGTACTCGGATGCGAGACATGCGTACAGCCTGGAGAAGTGGAATGAAGCTGTTGATTTATTCGAGAAAGCGATTGCTGACTACAATCACGAAAAAGAAGTGAAAATTCACTGCAGATCTCGATGTAGGGATAGATTCAAAGCTTCTTCTTCTCATGACTTGATAAGTGATTTCGAGTTAGACTACTATCGCTACACTATTTATTCTCACAAGTGTTCACAACAGTGCAGGGAGAAATATCTTGGAAAACGGACAAAGGTTTCTGCAGCAGTGAAGAATGATTTTGAATCAAGGAAGACGTATGCTTACCTGCAGTTTGCGTACTACAAGGTGGGTCATAAGTGTATATTGTTTACCATATGTGTATTTCAATTCATAAACAAATAACGCACACAGATGTGGATTTGTTCATATTTTGTCATGTATCTTGTTATGCAAATGGCAAATGTCATTGGCTTCCCCTGGGGTCGGACCCCGGGTTAACCAGGAGGATTGTAAAATGGGTGGAGCAGTTGATAATTCCCCCCAGGAGTGGGGGAATAAGAAAAAGTCCTCTGGTTCAACTGCTTCTCAATGGAAAATCCCCCTGATATCCTAAGCCTCAAAGCCTCACTCCCTTATTTGGCCTATACAGGTATGTGCCGCTGAACATGGTATGGTTTTCAAGGTCTTAAGTGTCACACAGGGTATACAATTTCACTATTAAGCATCTTGAACAGTCTTTTTGGACTGGAAGCCTTTCAAAGAGTGTGAAGACTTGCAATGAGCGGTCTACATTAATGCAATACCAATATTTTTTCCTAAATATCCATTTCCACGATTTTAGTAGGAAAAATTACTTAATTCAGTATGCAAAACAATACAAATCAGGGGCAGAAAGTGGTGTCTCCTGTCTTAAACAGGGTAGCGAAATGAGCAAGTTTTGTCTTAAACAGGGTCAGGGCTTGAAGGTCTAAGCGGCACAACTCAACATAGACTTCCCTTGAGTGCCCCCCCCTGGGAAATTCCCCCCCTTTTCCCCTTTCCTTTGAACTTAAAAGGGAAGGGGAGAAACCAATTCATCCCCTTGTTTTTATCAACATATTCCCCTGGTTTGCCCGGGGTCCTACCCCAGGGGGCTGAAGCCGAAAACGTGCATTACCATTGGAACAAAATACACCATGCAGCTGTCAAGATGCTTCCATCTGGAAATGTCTTATTGCAAGACTTGTCTGTAAATATTATGTGCCAGATACACAGTGGATGAAGAGCATTGTTGGAAGACTCTGTGTCAATGAATAACTAATTGCAAATGCAACAGATAGCTAAGTTCTTTGCAAAACTGTGTGTGCGTTATTTGTTTATGTAATGTCAAATGTACCCTCCAACTGCCCCCTCATCAGCTTGCCAAACCTCTAACAAAGACATTAAGTCTCTCAATAAAATTCATTCTTGTTTCTGTCACATGCTTTCAGTCTCTTTCATAGCTTGATCAGAGACTGATCAAGGTACTTGAATGTACATGTATGCTAATGGTACAAAAATTGTAAACATGGATTCATGAACCCTTATAAGTGCTTGTATTCAGTACGCTATAGCAAAATGTACTAGACAAAAAAGAGTGAAATAGAATGTTTACAAGGGTTCACCTGCATTATATTTTAGGTGGGAAGGTTGGTGGATGCAGCAAGAGCTGCGTACACATGCACTGAGATCCAAGCACAGGATAAAACCATGGCTGAGAACGTCCATATCTACAGAAAAATGCCGCGAGTAGAGGAAGCTGGTATCAATTCCTTAGAGCCTACAGTACACCAAGAGAACTACTTTAATGCTGCTAAATTGTATGAACAAGAACAGTGGCATGAAGCCATCCAGACTTTTGAAGAGGCCTTAAAGGAGTATTACATCGCGTATGAAAATTGTAAGACTATGTGTGAAGAGGAACGAGAGCAGAACAAGATCTTAAGCAGGTCTGGTCTGTTTGGTGTACATGTTGATGTCCTGAAATGTCGCACTAGATGCCCAGATAAGCTCAGAAAAGTTAAGGGAATCTATGTTCGGAACTATCTTGCAAGACATTTTAATTATCTTCAGATGGCTTATTATCAAGGTAAGGCATTGACTTTTTAACACAAAAAATTTTGCCAAATTTGAAATTGTTTTTGCTTTTCTGGTCAGACTGAAATGGCCAATATTTTAGGTAGAGGTTTCTTCTGCAGGTCACATTTCACAGGTCATGATTACAAATCATTATTTTACTCAAATCATTCTTTTGCTGATAGGAAACTAAACCAGATAGTTTACCAACATTTTTGATAGGGATGAGGGCTCGGAGACACTTCTGGTCCTGTTTATTTATGTGTAGTCTGGTGACCAGTATTCTGACCTGTGGAATACCTAATGTCTATGCTCAGTAAGGCGCTCATTTGGGTGTGGTTTGAAAGATCTCTTAAGTTAGGCATTTAGGTTGTGTATTTTTGACTGATGGCAGATGAGCGATCTCCGCGGACAAGGGATGTGACTCCACATGGCCATGGGCAGTTGGGATGTGAATAGATCTGGTGGGGGGGAGGCTTTCAAAGAAAGTTTGGGTGTGGGACTGTGCCCCCTGTTTAAGACAAAAGACCTTATTTCATGATCCTGATTCATTTCATTTTGCATACAAATTTCAGTAATTTTTTAAATCTACCAACCACAAAATAATTTGAAAATATTGGTACTTACGTGGACTGCTTATTTCCAACCTTCAAACTCTTTTAAAGGCTTCTGGACCATACCCTTTTCAGCAGTACATACTCATTTAGGCCAAATAAGGGAGTGGCTCCCAAGGGAATAGATTGAGTAAGAATTTACCAGCGGGATGGAAAAATCCTATGCTGGAATTAAAGAAAATGAATCCATGAATCAGGATGAATCAATGAATCTATTAATAGGCTGATAATAGCGACAGAATTGGAATGTCAGTTGACAACGGGAAAGCATGCAGAGAGGACTGAATGAGACTTCCAGTGCCCACTTTGTCACTCTGGCATTGGTCAAGCCAGTTGTTTGATTTGCCTGTGCCGTTGTCAACTTATGTTCCCATTCTGTTGCTAAATGAGCCCATTGATTGGTCACAACATTATACCCATTTGACATAGAAATCCCAGATTTAAACCTTCCAAGTTTCAAAATATTCCTATCTCTTTTGGGGCCCTAAGAACTCCTTTGGACTCAATAAGAGGAAGATAACCAACTGGATTCCCTGTGTTATATGTACCAATTGCAACCCATATAGATGATTATTAAAATGTGTTTTCCTTTCTCTTCCTTTTTAGGGTTAACATGCAGGGTGATCAGCCCCTGTCTGTTGAGTTCAATTTCTCTTTATCTCTTAAGGGGGGGGGTGGGGGAGTGGGCTGTTGGGGGTCTACCCATCTAAGGTTTATCCTGGGAAGTCCAACCCCAACCCCTTGTCCTAGCTTTTATAATACCATTAATTTTGTGACAGAAAAGTCACCCCTTTCACATACTTAGCTTAGAACATTTCATCCCTTTTAACTACTGTAAATGCATTGTCTTTAAAGAAATGAATAATTTTCTCTACCTTTTAAAAGTCATAAAATGCATCTGTAAGCCCTTTTGAACCTTTTTTACAGACAGAACTGTCAGATTTCCCAACCTTTCATAATAATTTGATTAGTGAAATCCCTACCCTTTCATATACCTGAATCCTGAAAAAGGGTACCTATTTCAGGCAGAGCCTCTCCATTGCAGTTAAATATCCCTTTTGCATGGTTTAATTAAGAGTCTTATGATTTCTTTTTCAGTGGAAAAGCTCTGGGAAGCTGCTAGTTGCGCTGCATCTTATTTATTGTTTGATCCAGATGATGATACTATGATTGATAATCTCAGATTTTTTCATCATCAGCTTGGACATGATGGCATAAAAATAACAGCTCGAAGGGTAAAGTTGCAATAAGCTATTTTCAATCAATTGTTGATATCTTTTATTTCTGTGTTGTGTCCATGGTGTACATGTACATGAGTGTATAAAATATTTCCTCAAACATGCACAGAAAACTTCTCCTTACAGTAAGTGTCAAGGTTTTCCCATTCATTCTTTACAAGACAGAATTTTTAAAAGTTCCAGACTATACGCTACATTGCATTAAGTTAGTATATAGTTAAAGGCCATTATTTACTTGTCCTTCAACACTATACGTGTGCTTTGAGGTCTTCATTGAGGCGAAATCCTATAGTTTGACCATGCATTCCAATGAAATCTCCCTATCAGCACTTTATTGTGGTACTTTTTGTTCTTTAATACAACATTATTGTTTTGATGTGGATGATCAATAAAAATTATTGGAGTGAAGGGATTTAGGTTTTTATTTCAAACTTTATGAGCATGCAGATGTTGATTTTGACATTGGCATACATGTACTATGCCAAACAATTATGCAATTTCATCATTATGTTATATGTTATAGATAAAATATCTTTGTATACTTACTCAGTACTCTACTGATTATGGGTTAAAAAGGAGTGTTGACTCACACAAGCACAGATGTCAAATTAAGTACACATACATGTATACATCTGTTCAGCTAATAATTAAAAAAATAATAATTGGAAATGTGTGCCTGGCTTAGGTTATAGCAATGTACTGTTCCAAACATACATTGCTGCAATATTTTCCCAGACCAGAGTGGGGAGGGGTGTTGAAGACCACTCAGAACATCCATTGTCACAAGTAATTGTGGTGACACATTGTTTGATTTAAGGATGCCATTTGCCATTTCAAAGAAACAGCAATAGAGCGTAAGCTGCTGCAAATGGCTGATGTTTATATGGCTGAAGCTGATTTTGATGACAGCGATACATGGTTTCATGATGGAAAAGATGATGAACCTGAAGATGTAAATATTGAGGTGAGCTCATGAATAATGTAAATTATCTAAATCTGTAATGACTTGTGTTCAGTTGGACCTGTAGACCATTATAATTATGTTACAGGGAAATGTCTATCAACTCTTGTACATGTAGCTACAGTTCCATCTGGAAGATTAATTATCATGTGGCTCACTGTCAACTTAAAAATATTAATAATATAATAATAAATTTTAAATTGAACAACAATGCTAACTATTAAAATCTTATTTACAATTATTAATTTCACTTAAAAAAATTTCTTCCGTCAAAACACTCTTTACAATTCCTTTTGTTTAAAAAGACACTTATTTTTGATCAGAAAAAATTCATTTAATTTTAAAAAAACTTTTGAATTAAGAACATGTCATTTCAATTAAAACAATCCATTTTGATTAAAAAAAAAAAATTTATATAAAATACTAATAATAATAACAATAATAATAACAGGCCATCTGATATTATGCGATGGTGTGATTTCGCACAATTGACCTCAAATTGCATCCGATGGCACAATTTGAGGAAAATTGCATAATTCGCAGAAAAATGTGTAATTCAAGTAAAGTAAACAATTATGAATTCCAACTTTGATTAAACATTTTCCCTATCTTGATGTTATTTAAGGTGATTTACCACTAAAGAAAGCCTTGCAAGACATCTGAAACCTTCGATCGCGGTATCTGGGCAGCCATTTTGATTTCAGAGATAAGCAGTGTGGTCAGCGGTGTAACGGCATCATGTAATATTAAACAAGTGTCCTTTTTTTTCTAGGTCAAGATAATCGGACAAATTTGACTATTTTGTTTTAAAATAGATGTTTTATTATTCTTTTACATTCAAATTGCCCGTGAAACAACATTCAAGTGGTTTTTCTCCTTTGAAACCTGGTAAAACAATGTAAATTATTCATATTTATCGCATAATAGTCCTATCTTATCGCACAATCTACCCTGAAAATATCACACAATTTCTGATTTTTTATCGCACCCTATCAGATGGCCTGTAATAATAATAATGTATCCTCTATGGGTAGTGGATGTTAGCCTGAGATGCGGTCATGTTATTCAGATCAATGGCAGGGCTAAAAAAAAGTCCTGTCCGCTACTCTCAGACAAGTAGATTTTCTTGCTGGGCAAGTAAACTTTTAAATCAATCAATCAAAAACTTTATTAGTTAGAGTGTCTGAGCTTCTAGCTCACCACAAGTGGTGCACTACTTGGTAGAAAACTCACTTGCCCAATGTTCAAGGGTCAAGGCAAGTCATCCCCTAACAAAAATAATCATTACCAACGGCAAACAAGAAGTGGCCCCAAGCAGGCAAAAATGTGTAGGACAGCTTGAACAAAGGACAAGCTGGAATTCAAGATTTTTTTGAACCCTGAATGGATGACCCTTTTTGACAACTGTCAGAAGTCAATAAAATGACCAAAGTCTGAATGGTGTATATTACTTAATAACGAAGGATGCGCTGTATAGGTGAATGAATCATCTGACCATCCATCCACACAGTTGAATGGCTGGCCTCATATCTCAGAAGTTTTGTGATGGATACATTTAGGTTACAAGCTAAGATTTCACTATCCTTGGTGCTACTAACACTAATTTTTTTGTAAATGCACCTACTTTTGGTGCGTGGAACTCTGATATAAGTTTGCTACTGTTTTTGGTGTGCAGCTCTACCTAAAGTTTAGTCACTTATGTTCCTTTGGCATGATTAGCTCTGCTGTAAGTTTTGCTTAATTTATTCGTTTGTCATGAGTACATGCAGCTCTGCTATACGTTTTGCTTTGGTTTTAGGACTTGATGCAAGATGAAGAGAATGTTTACTCATTGGAGAAGCTTTGGGGACTGGGGCCCATCAAGAAAGAATCACCAGTTCAGAATCCACAAGATGTTGTTAAATTTGACAGATATAAGGTGATCGAATACTAAGATCTATCATTTTATTCAACATCATCATTATCGATACAATGTACCTTGAGAGAAACACAGAACATAGGACTTAGAATCAATCTAGTTGTGTTGTGCATCTAAGACTTTGTGGTTTACAGGGGTTATATAGGGGAATAAAAAGTTTAAGTAAACAGCTGTTTTGAGGAGAAAACCTATAAGGTTTCAGCAACATTTGGTAATTTTGGGTGAAAAGTAGTCAACTTATTAAAACAAATTAAGGAGCCAATGCTTTATGTTGGCTGTTAGTTCTTACTGAAAATGACATTCTTCAGACGTCATTTTGCAAAGAAACCAGTGTTGGCTAGAAAAATGTTGGCTGTTTCTCAGGCTAAGGAATGTTGTATCCACACTACCAGTGTAGGGGGTTATCTGAACTTTCTTCTTTTCTCTTCTATGTAAAGGGGTCAAGGATCTTAATGACTGAGAAAGATTTGAATGGGACTGCAAGGGTTGCAGTGGATGGCATGGCAACAGAAGAAGAATGTAAAATGCTTATCAAACTTGCTGAGGTATGCAGTTCGTTTTTTTCACCTTAATCCCTCCTTATTTGTTTAATGCATTAGATCTTCACCATGAGTTTGCATCACTGTTTGATTCACACACGTACAAGGCTGCATTCTCTCAGGGTTCGTAACTCAATCAATATTCCTGAAAAATTACAGGTGTTCATTGGTCCTGAGTATGGTGATCGATATTATAACACTTATCATCCGATTTTATTTCTTTTCATTAAAGACCTTGAAAGAGATAAATTAAAAATTATTCATTCAATGCAGCACATGATGTGCGAGAAAAAGCAACTTGATATTAAATGCACTGTAATGATATAATTTATTTCCAATATTTCCCGTCAACTCTTTCTAATCAGACACTTCTCTGCAAGAAAAAAAATTTAAAAGTCACATTATAAAGTCCCACTCAGAATGATAATTGCTCTTATGAATAACACAGAAGTCATTTAAAATTATTCTCAAAGTTGTTAGCAAAATCTCATTATGTACATAAACAAAATATGAAGAAAAAATTTAAAAAAAGAGTAGTGGTGAATGTATTAAATAAAATAATTATTATCTATAAATGAATGAAAATACGTTAACAATAAAAAATGAATGATCAACTATTCAAAATTATCACAATTTTTGAATTTAAATGATTTAATATTAAATTTTTTTTGTTGTTTACCACACTGATTTTGTGCAAGTAATTTTTGACATTCAATTTATAGTTCATTACTTGTCTGCAGGTTGTATATTCATATTTCACATTTTCATGTTTTAAATTATTTTGTTTTCATTTAGTGACTACACAGATTTTGCTGCCTCCTTATTGTAAGCAATAGTAAACGCAAACCACAAGCTGGCAACTCTCATTAAGATTTTGCAAGAAGCTAGTTGTGTATTCACATAAAAAAATTCGTTACACCACTGTTAGTAGCGTGTTACCCTAAGGGCCTGTTTCCCGAACGTCCGGCTAACTTTTGAGGCCCAGAAAGCTGTTTTGGATTTGTTATGTGTGCATTCAAGATCAAAGTTTCAATAATTTTGAAACTATATGTGATACAACTCACAAAGGCAGCTTCCCTTTCCCCTCCCCACCCCCCTCCATTGGCAGCGCTAGTTTTCTAACCAATGTATGCCACAATACTTCTTGTATGGTTGTTGCCAGCTTGTGACGTAAATAATCTTAAACAATAACGACATGACCCTCTTAAAATTATTAAATCAAGATTTTCACCAAAGGCACTGTAATAAAGTAAGACGATTGATTATAAAAACAGAGCTTGGACGATATTCAACAAAACTGGATTCTAAGCCATTTTCATTTTGGCCAAGACTAATACGTTAACACTCTGTGCTATAAACAATGTCAAAAAGGCTTGAAGGACAAACTGGAAAACGTAAAATGTGCGATGTACTTGAAATAACCCAGCTACAAAGGAATCTAAATGTGAACTGTTCTTCTTAAACCTCGGTCTGAGTTAAAATTATTTACCGCGTGTTTTCTTAATTTGCCGGTAAACCATTGTAACGAACTGAAAGGTACTTGAACTAAATCTTGAAGAAGTTAGCAAATTGAATTAAAAAGTGTTTTAATCAAATCGTATTTTTTGTTATGTCTTTGCAGTGGTCTTGCCATTGCAGAAAATGATTTTTCAATCCACCGTAGATAGATTTTAGGATAAAGATTCATTCTTTGATAAGTTTCAATTAGTTACCCCCGTAGCATCTGTACCTAAAGGAGTTCTGTACACGACCTCTTGTTTGGTCTCTTCGTTTCCATGTTACCGCGAGGTCTTACTGTTAAAATACTCAATGTGTTCAGCTTATTATTTTGGAAAGTGTTCATTAATCAGGAACTGTGGTAGTATTGAAATGAAATTAACTAACAATTTCAAAGTAAAGCCTAAAAACTTCCAACGGAAGCCTCCTTTAAGCTTCAGTAAAACGGGCAACAAAGACCTGCAACTTGTTTTGCATCATTGCTGCAAAGCGAGTTGTAACGTGATGCTGCTGTAAACAACCTGATTTGTTACAAGACAGGTTTGATGTGGGTGGTTAAACGCGCAACATCGCTATTCAACTTGTTTTGAAGCAATGTTGCAGGACAAGGTGCATGTTTTTTGTTGCCCTTTTTTCCGTACCTTAAAATAACGAGTGTTGCAACTGAGACCGCCTTCAGTTAAATCGGACGGTCGAATTACGCAGCTCAGTCGGTGGTGGTTGATGTTTTTAGTCGCTTGAACTTCAATGGAATTTTCCTTTTTGTCCCGTTAAAAAAGCTCACTTGCATTTTAAGTAGTGTTCTTCGGGGAATCATACTAAATTACCTAATTTCAAACCGAGGAGGGCTGGGTACGAGTCCGTTTATTATGGGATAAACAACACCAGAGCCACAAGGACATAAAGAGCACATTGAGCTAAGGAAAATTCTCATGTCTGGTGTTAATCGGGTGAATATTGACCAAGATAGAGCTATTTAAAAACTTGAAAATTTACTAAGAAATGTATGGATTGCCGGACACACTGTTCGGACGTCTTAGCATAACCATGACTCCTGATATTTCGTTGTAAATTTTTGAGTAGCTATATCTCGTTCAATATATGCCCGATCAACACCAAAGTTGAGGATTTTGTAAATCTCGGTTTCCTCCTTCTGACTTTAGGGGGTCTCTTGTTGTTTATCCCATAATAAAAGATCTCCTACCCAGCACCCCTCGGTTTTGAAATTGGTCAATACAGAGCTTCTTCTTCTCGTCGAAGGCTTAGGTACTGGTGAGATACGTCGAGCTGCCAAAAGTCGCCGTCATGAACACTCGTCTGATCAACATTACGTATTTGGAACGAAGTTACCGTTGGGAATATTTCAACAGTCAATTTGAAAGCGGAACTTTGATTTTTCTTAATAAACTATCTGTTCCCGTTTAATTAAAGAAGTTTCCTCGATGATAAGCGCAACGCGCTGAGTATTTTAACCGTTTTGCAATGAAAAGTGCCAATCCAATCGGTTTGTGAGGGTCATGTCGCGCTATACATCTGGGTCTTGATCTGTTTGGTCTGTTCTAGAAGACAGCTAAACTTGGAGATGGTTATGATGGCAGAAACAGTGGAGACAAACCGTTTTCTTTTACGGAGAAGGAAACATTTTCCGGTGTCAATATATTGTCTGCGACAAAGGTAAGTGGCAATCATTATTTCAACCAATCAGGTTTTTGTTTTTTGTTTTTTCTTTTCTTTTGTCAGACCGAAGGTACCGTTTAAGCAAAGGAAAATTTATCGGTCTGGACTAGTCAGTGTAGTTTGCTTTAAATTGACTCAACCGGTTTTAAACGAAAATTTGTATTTCATTGGAATGTCTTATCCTAAACAGTGGTTTCCCTACTTTTTCAACCATGGGCAAGTTTCACATACCGTAGTTTCTCGGTATGTTCGACTAATAAGGATGGGATTGGTGGAACGTATTCTTCGGGAGGGCGTTTATAAGAGCATGGGCGCTTGTTCTTGGAAATAAGGTAACGTTACGTCGGTTGTACCTTTACGTCTGGTATAAAGGTAACGTTTGTCTATACGGCTTTAAATCCTAGCATATAACGAAGGGCCAAAGGACTCGCAAAATTTGTTCTCTATGACGAGGTTTCGTCATATCGAGGCCGTCTATTTTCATATAATTATTTGACCATCAGGAGAGTTGAAAACATCGTTCGTTATACCGAGGACCTCGTTTTATAGATTTTCGTTGTATCGAGGTTCCACTATTTTTTGTGTTCCCTAATTAGCATAGGTTTTTAACCTAAGCTAGGAGGCTTCTTTAGACACCTTAATAAAGTTTCATCATCATCATCATGTATCTAGGAGTGTCTTTTAATGTGTTTATTTACTTTCCATTACTATAGGCAGCTCTTAACAAAAGGGCACCAATTGAAGAGGTGGAGCTTTACTTCAACTTAAGCGAGAAAGTTCGTCATTTTACTGAAGATTATTTCCAGCTGGAAACACCACTGTATTTTTCGTATACGCATCTTGTCTGCCGCTCATCGATTGTAGGTGAGTTTTTTTTTTGTTTTTTTTGGGGGGGGGGGGGGTGGCAACCTCGTTACCACGATACGGTCACTCTTACGCACGGAGTTGCAAATGGAGCTGGATTTTGTAACTGGATTCGCAAATCCAAGCATGGCTAACAACCATTTGTCCTTGACGCCCGGCAGCTGTTTAAAACGTGCCTATAACGTAGCAATATTTATCTTAACTAAAAGAACACAATACTTCAAGAACTTCAAAGGAATTTCGCGTTTTGAACAAACTTAGATTTTTTAAGATTTTTATTATGGTACACCCGCACAAAATGACAAAGTTCAATAACGTACTGTTGTTTCTGAGCGTAAATCTCTTCGTCTAGAAACATCACATTCTTTAACACTGCGGCCATACACAAAGCGCAGTCCACAGCTTAATAGGGTCTGTGGTAAGAGAAAAATTGAAGTGTGTTTGTTTTCACATTCAGACCCGAAGTCGCCCGATGAAGAATTCCACTTAAGTCACCCTATTCATTCGGACAACTGTATCCTCAATCGTGACGGACAAGGCACTTGCCCTAAAAGGTCGCCAGCTTACACTTGGAGAGACTTCAGGTATGTACAATAAGCCAACGCTTGTTTTTGTCTTAAACTATCTTATTCTGAGTTAGCCTGAGCATCAGGCTTTTTTAGCGGGGAGGGGTGAGGCGAGGAGAGATCTTCACTCCCCTAGCTATCCCCTGAGAAACAGGGATGTGGCTACCCTGGTCCCAGAGGTTTTTCTTGATTTTTCTTCGCGAAAGAGATCAAGAGGAAGCCGCGAAGCGGCGACAACGAGTCGCGAAAGCGACGAGGAGAGAGAGAAAAACCTCTGGTTACCTTGGCCTCGAATCTCACTTTCATGAGACGACAGCTGTCAAACGCGTCAAATTGCCAATAAAAGGAGTGACCAATGGCAACTTAGCAAACACGTGCTTATCAGCCGCTATTTTTTTAAGTGGGGGTAGACCTGGGGAAATTATGTTATGAACAAACCATCTCCACTTGGGTGGTAAAGAGTGATTTGTTAATCGGGGTCAAGCTAAAGCATGTGTTAACGATGGGCGACAAGAGTCCAGGAATAAGAAGACCACTTTATAAAGAAACCGACATTGTTCCAAACGACTGCTGCAGGATTTGCAGAATTTATGTAAAAGTAAGTGGCCGATCTAAAATCAACTTTTTTGGGTATAATAACAAGGACTTTTCACAAACATTGTCATCTGTTCTGTCGGCAGTGTGCCAGCGGGAAGTTGTAAAGTTTGCACGAGTCTATCAATCACGCTTATTGCATTGTTTACTTCTGCGGGGCCCGCCGTTCGCGTCGATTCGCGGGCATTCCCTTCAAAATAGTAATATTAATATGTATTCTGGCAATCTGGCTCGCATTTTGGTTTGGCGGCTCCATTTCCTTTTTTTGTGGAACAACGACGCTAGGAAGAGTCATGCAGCACAACAAACCCTTAATGTTCGGAATGTACTTTCAGAGGTTTTTGTTGACCCAATAGACCTATTCGGCTAACTCAATGTTGTACCCAATTCAAACCCTTTGGGAATAAAACGTTTTGTTTCAGGAATTTCCATATCATTTAACTGTGAATGCCACATTATAATGCAAATGCAATACACAAAGAATCTTATCCCCGGGAGATTTGAATTGGGTACAACATTGAGTTAGCCGAATAGGTCTATGCCAAAAATAACGTTGGTTAGATCTTTTTTGGGCGTCACAGGAAAATCAAGCTGCACCGAAAATGTTTACGTAGTTGTACAAAGTTGTATGTTTTTTTTCCTACAAGGAAACTTTCATTCCGTATTCGGAGATTTTATATTTTGCAGCCCTAAACAAGTTACTTTATTTAATGGGATGACAGTATTGTAACAGAAAATATACTTTCCATGTCCGGTTGATAAAATAGTGAACACATCCTTTCGACTCAACGCAGCGAACAAAGCTTTCTTTTGTTGTTCAGGGAGACTCAGGAAAGCGCTCATTAAGTACCGAGGTCAAAATTTCTTCGAATATTCTTTCAGGAACAACATCCATGTCAAAATCTCGAAATATGGCGTGCCTTTACTTGCCTTGGTCCCGTGCAAATGTTATTGCGAGTGCAGCATACAAACAATTTTCTTCCCTAGTAGAGAGAGGCAAAATGAGGTGTGAAAATCCTCAGCGTCCCCTCGGTAGTTACAATTAAACGAGCCGATCAAATTGGTTTGCGTGTTTGAAAAACTATCAACCAATCAACGCCCGAGGGTCAGATCCTGACCCTGTCGTCTGCATGAAAGTGAGATTCGAGGCCAAGGTAACCAGAGGTTTTTCTCTCTCTCCTCGTCGCTTTTGCGACTCGTTGTCGCCGCTTCGCGGCTTCCTCTTGATCTCTTTCGCGAAGAAAAATCAAGAAAAACCTCTGGGACCAGGGTAGGATGTGGCTGTAGTGATGATTTTTTTTGGACCAAATCCTAGCACGTAAACATTCAAATAAAAGCTCTCCATCACCCCGGGTCATTCCAAAAATGATTAATTTAAGGGCCTTATGAGTCATATTTAAAGCGAAATTGTGTTGTCTAGGAATTATGGACTTCCACCGTCACTAAGGCATTTATAATACTGTGAAGCCTTTAGTAAGAGACCCGGGCTATGCTACATAATTCAAAGTGATACGAGTCTTACTCTAGGAAGGCGGTAAACAGCCTTCCAGCTTCTGGGCCCAACATTTTATATGAATTGATTGTATTTTTTAAGTGTTGTTGATTTTTTTCTTTCATTCGTATAGACTTCTTTTACTTATTTATGAACTGTTTGTTGTTGTTCGTAGTGCGCTGTTGTATCTGAATGGTGACTTCACTGGAGGAGAGTTTCTGTTTGCTAACTTTGATGAATCTATTCAGGTATAGACCGATGTTGAGAAACGATGCGTGCTTGTTTACTGATTCTTTCTGTAAAACGGCTTTTTGCCACACGTTCTAAACGGACACTTCACGTCAAAAAGTGTACGCGGTGGAGTTCTCGTTTAACGTGAAGTCAAACTGTGGGATATGATATTTCTGTTTGTGGAAAAAGTTGAACATTAAAAATTCTATGTTTTCAAACTACACTAGTCTTAAGAAAGGAAGTGGTTAGGATAGAGGTGGGGGCTGAGGGCGAAGTAACCAGATTGTCAAAGAGGAAAATCTTTGTAGCCCTTTCAAATGTCAATTTTCTTCTCTTCGTCAGGTCTCCTCGAAACTGTAGTTAACTCGGTATTCCGAATTTGCTGTTGCTTTCAAACTCACCATTTGATCTTCAAAATCTTATACTTGAAAATCTACCCGGCTACTTTCCAGTTCTGTGCGTTTTGAAGGACGAATATTTTTACTTATGTTCTCTATTAATTGGAGAAGGTAGTTAGTTTTTAATCAGCATGACAGACGGACGGATGGAAAGTAAGTCATGTGGTTCTGTTTAATTATCAGGCCAAACTGAAACCAGAATGTGGAAGAGTTGTAGCATTCTCAGCTGGCCTAGAGAATCTGCATGGAGTTGCTGGAGTGCGCGAGGGTCGCAGATGTGCGCTGGCACTGTGGTTCACTTTACGAAAGAAACACGACGAGGCGCAACGACATGAAGCTTGGAACATTTTTAAAATGGCCAAGGAACAGAAACGGCTGGAACAGTTGCCTGTTTTCACTCCTGAAGTAGCGACACACGTAGAGTTGTAGTTTTCTAGTCCATGCTCCGACGTGGTGTTCCCGGTAATGGAAGAAAAGTGAAGAAAGAATTTCCTTTGGAATGAATGACAGCCATGCAGGCCACGAGAATATTGTGTTTGAGAAACGGGTTTGGGACTGGGACAGAATTAACAATTAACGTGGAAGTCAACCATGGAAAGCAGGAGCCCATTCTCTCTTTTCGAATTCCCCATTATACACACTGTTTTCCCCCCAAATTCTGCATAAACCCTTGTTTTTAAATGCTCCTGGGAGTATTGCATTTTCTCAAGAGCATTTTAAGACAATAAATTATGCAAAATTTGAGGGGCAGACAGAGTGTATTACGGGGATTCGAAAATAGTCAATAAGCAACTTCCGTGTACACGTGTCACGGCGTTTTCACCAGTTTAGTTTTGGAACAATTTTGTCGCGAATTTGGTCTCAGTCAAGAAAACCTACAGACCCTGAAAAAAAATGGTATTTTTGACCTTTTATCGGCGTTTCGTTTTCCATTTTCATATCTTATACTTCGACTGCGCTTATAACTACAATGTTAGAAGGTGCAGAGCTTCTATTTTCGTGGGGAAAAGTTTTCTTAAATATAGAAGGAAACCGGTCCGCTAAAACGCCGTGACATAGACTTCAAAATGGGAGTTACTCGCTCCGGGTTATGAGCTCGTCCTTTGAACGCAAGCATGTGCGTTCCTCACAACCATGCCAACTGCATTATTTCCCATTTGTTTAGAACCTCTTTCTTCAGACTTAGTTTGAATCTGATAGGATCACAAATTTTGGGGTGCTCAACGAGATCTAGTTGCGATCTGTCGATTGATTTGAATTTCCAGTCCCTTACTCGTTTCTAAAGTAGCACAAAGACACGTATGTAAACGTAGTGTCCCGCGCAGCTCAGTTTTACTGCGTTGCTTGACGACTCCAAAAATCGCTGTAAACAGGGTAGGAGTGATTTTCTTCCCTGACCCACAAGTCATTATGGTTCTAGGTAAGATATCAAACTTTTTTGTAGCCTTCAAAATGTTAATATTTCTGGATCATTTTAGGTTATTTTGTCATTGATATGAAGATTTGCCTTTAAATTACTTAAATATCGGACTTAAGTAAAAAAAAACAAAACACCTTATTAGAAAACAAAACACTTCAACCAAAATTGGAACTTTTCAAAAGCCACTAGACAAGGATATATTGACGTGATGCAATTTCAAATGTAGAAAAAATAGATATTTTACACGAATTACGTAATTAATACTTCTTCAGTTTGAAGAAGAGCGGACGAAGTTTAGTTTTAAATGCGCTGGTTAATATTCTGACTCGTTTTAAAAAATCTCAGCTAAAACACTGTAAAATATGCCACGCTTGAGGAAAAATCTCCTCCATTTTATAAAACTGGATGCAAAAAACCATGGGAAGACTGTAACTCCTCCTTTGGGCTGCGTTGAAGACTAGTAGCGCACCTGGATACGATTTTAACGACAAAATCAAACCAAGGTACTTGTACTAAGGATGCCCTCGAATGATCGTATTCTGGGATAAGAATACGCAAAAGGTTCTGGTTGCAAATATCTTCTACAGTGATTTTTGGACCATTATTCTTATTCCGGAATAAGGTCAATAGAACACGCCCTAATACTCGTGGTCTATAACATTATAGGCAACTGCCATTTGCGAAACAGGCCAATTCGGCTACAGTGAAACCTCGATACAACAATGTGCCAAGAGACTGGTAAAATTTGTTCGCTATAACGAGTTTTCGATATATCGAGGTTTTTTGTCAAATATTTTACTATTACTGGGTTAAAGAAAATTGTTCGTTATACCGGGGACTTGTAACATAGAGGTTCGTTATATCGAGGTTCCGCTGTACTCAGTAGGTATTTGAGGGATGTTGTTTTCAATTTGTACATTTTTATACAGTTTTGTATAAAAATGTCGATAAGAGAAGTTATAGTATAAAACTTAAAAATAATAGGCCAGATGTTTTAGTGATGAAGTTTTAATGTAGTAATATATAAGTCGAAATTATTTCTATCATGTTAAATTTTTGGAAAATTTTTATATGCCACGTATCCACAATTCTGATGCCAAACTTACCGTAAAGATCTTAAATTGACGCATTTTTCTGCGATAAGCACTATTAGCGAGAATTTTATCGAACAACCATTTAGATTCATTGCCAAGACAGACGGCGAGATTCTGTCAATCAGAGCGAGGATTCTGTCCGATTTTAGATTAAAGCCTCGTAAATCTGCATTCCTCCAAAGGGTATTGTCATACGCTATTCTCCGCCATTGCTTGCACACCAATGAGGCGTGTCCTAAATCTTTCAGCGAAACGAAATAAAAGATCCTCAGCAAAATTGACTCTGGAAGCTTGTCCATCTTATTACCATTAGATGGTACTTTTTGATTTTTTTTTTCTGGCTTGGTCAAGTTCACCATTATGAAGTCACCAATCGAACACATAATCAGCTGGCACGCGCGCAGTGATCAGGTCGCGCAGTCGCAGAGAAGATGAAGGCCTAAGGTCCTACCCTGAACTAAATTTCACACGATGATGAAAAAACGGGAACACGTGGCGTTTACTTATCCTACGCTAAACGCGACTTTTAAAAGGTTATGTTAAAAATTAAAGTCGAGATTTAAAACCACTGCCAAAACCTGTTATGAATTTTCTTTATCTCATTTCCAGACCCCTTGTCAATTTTGTATATATAGTTTCTCATCTATAACGGTCACTTTTGATCACTTTTGAAAATGTATGTTAACTAGCATACGAAAAGTGAAGTTTATATAAAAATGCTGAGAGTCACTATGTTTATCACCGCTGCTTGTTTTATATTTTTTATTAAGCTACGATGGTCCACGACTGACAAAAGCCTTTTTACGTGGTTTTTCATTGTCTAAAACAACGTAGACTACGAGCAGTCTCTTTTTTTTCTGTAGTCCGTCGAGCAAAACGCGAGACACGCAATGGCCACGCGCGTGACTGATGGCGCGAGACGGGAGAGGCACGAAAAAAGAGAGACTACCCGCAAAGCCAGAGAGAATGGTCTTTCACGGTCTAGTGATTTTTTGGCGTCAAAACTGAAGTGTTGACAGGCCAGGCACGTGAAACGTGACTTTAGAGTTTGCTTGAACAACAGAGGTTTTTCTACTTTTCTTTTTAAATCGCAGCTTATGCAGTGCATAGAGTTAGAGTCGATTCTAAGCTAATTGACTGAGCAAATCTTAATTTTGGACGCTGGTCTCACATTTAGAGGTCATGAAGCTGGTCTGTTTCTCTCATATTAATAATTCATTTCTTGTGCATTTAATATGTATTGAATGAGATCACCCGTGGCCGAGTTCTTGTTTGCGGGATGTTGAATTTTCACGGGACAGTGTTCTACATATCCTAATTGTGGCTTAAGTTAAGCCAACGCTGTAAGTCACTCAAGATCATTCTTTGGGCGCCGATTTGTTTTTTCTTTCATTCTTGAGAATCTTTGTTCTATAGCGCGATGTCCTGTAGTGCATCCGTTGGTAATTACTATTGTCTCAGCTTTACAAAATAAACAGTCTAAGAGTCTTCCAGCCTATGCTACTTTCTGTTTTAAGTTCTAAAGTAAGACTACCGTTTTGGAACTAAAGCGTTCCTTGACAGTGAAGAGAGGCTTTGAGCATTTAAATTGCGCGATCACGTCACTTGACGTGAGATGAGACCTTCTTATGCTTCTCTTTGCTCCGTATCTAATTTTTTTTTTCGGGAAACGTGACAAACTTTCCTGCAGCGCTTCAGCCATCATCAACTTGTCGATGGTTTCGATTGTTGACAATTTGTTGTCAACGCTTAACAAATCAGCCAATCGTATTTTGCGTTGTGAGGCCAACGCTTAATTCATTGGCTCTGGCTAAGCGGGCAGTCTCTCTTTTTTCTTCTCGGGCTGCCGCCCTCGTTTCGCGCGTCTCGCGGCTTCGCCGCTCCCGCGCGCGTGCATTGCTCTCACTAAATCTGAAGAAAAAGAGAGACTGCTCGCAGTCTAAAAACAACGAATCACTCTATGATAATTATGGGCCCCGCGTGGTCTGGATAAAGGATGAAGATGGAACAAATATAATAGCAGTCAGCAAGATCTCTCAGCCTAGACTCCTACTTTCCCTATATGTTTCCAAAATGAAGGATAAATAGTTGAATACTAAAGTAACTACCAATCAGTTAACGTTAGCGAACTAGTCGTTTGCAAATGTGAACGGCTTGGCAACACAGCGCGGTAGAGAAGGCCTGGTAATGAGACAGGGTCAACAGTCCCATGAGAACCCGCGCACCGTGTAATGGCCTCTTCGCCATTTTCTTTGCTGCTCTACAAAACGAGTAAGGTAAGAGATTCAATCCGGCCAATATTTTCGTCTTTTGTAGTCATCTAATTCTGAAATTACCCTCTTATACTAGCAGAAATCTTGAAAATATCGAACGATTAATTATTTTCTTTAAGACGGCTTTTTTAGCCCGAAAAGTCACGGTAGGTTTCCAGGACTTGATAAAACAAGACTGTCGAAACGGCGATTGTTGAGTTTAGTGCGTTAAGTTTTAGGTCTCCCTATTTTAACTGAAAACTTTGGTACATGTCCTTGAATTAGCTTAATTATGAGACGTTCCTGTTTCGAGTTATTTAGTTTAACAGGCTTTAAATCACAGCTAAACTAGCATGATAATGGCAAGTCACATGTTACAAGCTTTCATGATTACAAATGTGTTTTCGGCTTGTTTTCATTGTTTATTTCGCCAAAGATTACCAGATCCTCAACTTTAAGAACTTAGGATTTCATTATTTGATGAATGTCGTTCGCTGTCGAGATTGTGTCCTTATTCCCAGAATTGTAAATTGGAAAATTTTGAAAATTGTGTTCACATCAACTCCTGAAAATTTAGAAAGCCATTGTTAGCCATGTGAATCTTAAATAATATATATTTTTTAGCCAAGATGGTTATGCCAGCAAACAGACCCCGGATCGTAAAGAAACGTAAGAAGAGGTTTATCAGACACCAGTCTGATAGATTCTACAGAGTTAAGGTTGGTAACTTGAATAATTATATCAACCAGTAAGTATTAGGTTAATAATAATAATAGTTATTTTAGTTTCTTGTTTTCAATGTATTTCCCAAGAGGACAAGAGGTGATGTTGTAGTGACAAAATTGCATGTTCAGGGACTTGTACAGTGTGGTTGGGAAATCAATTTGTCATCACTGTCTTTTCATTTTCTGCTTATTTGTTTGTTTGGTTTTTTCCCCAGTGAATAGTAACAATGCTCACACAAATACATATCTTTGGAATATGTCTGAGTGTTCTTCTATCGCATAACACCTTCCCTTTAAAAGCACCACACTGTGAACTTAAACCACTGCATGTCTGCTGTTGGCTTAGTTATGAGAGTGTTGGTCATCCAAGGGAAGGAAAGTAATTCATTTTGTGGGTGAGGTGCATGGAGGACCTCTTTCTTAATGTTCTGTGGTATGAACCTCAATACAAAATGCACATAAATTGCCTTTCAGGCATTTAAGAATTAAGTGTTTTGTTTCCCCCAGTGTAGGCCATGTGATTTTACTGTAGAGAACTGTTTCTTTGGCATTTCATGTTACTCACATGCATGTGTATGCACAATTTATGAGAAGACAAAAGCCAAATTCCCTTGGGACCAAGCACTTGGGGAAAGCATAATGTTCAAGCTAAAAAGGTCTATTGGGCTGGAAAAGAGTGTCATAATGTTGAATAGGTTATGTTTTGTTAAACAGTTATCTGAACACAATTTTTTTTATTTTTGTATTAGCTTGTTGGGTATTTGATTTTTTGTCTTCTGGGTCATGAATTATCACTTCAAAGTGAACTAAGTGGTTCATATTTTGTGTCATTTTGGATTTTTAGGGCATGCCAGGTTGCTAGAGGAGTCTATGATTTCCCCACATGCAACCGCAATTTCAAACAAGGAGCCTTCACTTGGGCTTAAAACTTACGTTGTATGATTCTTATGCCAACTTCTGGTCAACTAACGACAAAATTCCCCACTCATTCTGCACTTGTGAAATGAAAACATAAAACGTGTGTCATCGGCTGAGGGCAAAAAGTATTTCTGCTGATAAAAAGTAAATCAACAAGCACTTGTCTTGAAATTTGTTTCTGTGACTTCCCCTTCCAGGGCTTTCCACTGCAGTGTAGTTAAAGTTTCTTGTCTGAAAATGATCTTGAATGTAGTTAATAGTCTTACAAAAATCTTTGGTATTAAAATCTTGACTTTTTCCCCCATATTGTGCTTTTAGAAAGGTTAAATTGCTGTTGTATGTTTTAAAAAGTTGCGATACATGTAAGAGCAGGAGGTTTCAAATTACATTTGAGATATGCAAATTTAACTTGCATGTGGCCTGCAGTACACTTGGAGATTTCTTTCATCATTTGTTCAGCATCATCTATACCTTTCTATCTTTGCTCTGTGGTAATTTTTGAAAGGCTTGCAAAAAAACATACATATAAAAGTACATACCCTCACACATTACGCACCAAAATTGGAAAAGTAAACACATTTTTGATACTTCAAAAGGTAGACTTTATACAAAAATATTGAGTCAATTTTCCAAACTTCAAGATAAAAACTTTGTGTTGGTCCTTTTTTATCGCCTAAAAACTTAAACTTAACTTTGCTTGAATTTTGCATGCAAGTTGCTGTTGGTCATTGCGTTTGCTGTATGTGCGAATGCTTACTGTTATTTTCTTGAGAATTAAATTGTCTCTTGAAATTCTCGTTGAGTGATCAATATCATAATGGTGGCTCAAGACTCAATTTTCACATCTCGAACTTGATTCATGCGAGTTTACAGTGGTCTTCCTCGCAACTGTTTTTATCTCATTACACAACGCTGAAGAGCCTTGCATGAGGAGAGAAAAAGAGCTGCAAGGGAGTTTCGAGAAGCGTGAATGAAGTTTCCAGAACACTATCGATAAGGTCATCGTGGTGAACTAATTAAAACTAGGTTAAGTTACCTTGGCTCCAGGTTTCCGTTCTCTAAATACAGTAAAGCAAAAAAAAGCCGCTAGCAAACCTGGGTAACGTTAAAAATAAAAAAACAGAAAAAAAGAAGATTGGTCCTTGAATGTTAGCTGACCTTTGCTATGCTACTATTTTGTTCCCTTGGGTTGGATGAAGAGTAAATTTGAAGTTTTATCGATAAACCAGTTAGTGCACCACTTGCCGTGTGCTAGGAGATTGACATGTTAATGAAGTCATACTATTTTTCTTTTAATGGGCTCCTAGAAATGAGGCTCATGCCCCTAACTTTTTATTTTAGGAGCCTGAAGGGGCTCCCAAAAATTTTCTTAAGCAGCAACCTTGATTCCATTGAATTCTTAGACCTAAATAACCTAATCTTATTACTGTCTGTAGCCAAGCTGGCGCAAGCCCAAGGGTATTGACAACAGAGTAAGAAGAAAGTTCAAGGGGATGTATATTATGCCCAGTATTGGGTATGGCAGTAACAAGAAAACAAGACATCTCATGCCAGATGGATTCAAGAAATTTATCGTGCACAATGTCAAGGTATGTTTGTGGTCCGAATGCATTTCTTGAAGTCACAAATGTTTTTCAGCTGAAGTAGCTGAATTTATGTCAGTGGGAGAGTGAAATACAAGATTTGATTTTATCAACAACCTTAAGATCCAGTGATGGTGATCACAACAAGAACGTCTAAAAAGCAATAGGTTTAATTGGCAAAACAGTGTTTCTGCAGGTGCAGCATACTTTTTTGTACCTTTCCTTGCTGTCATTGTAAAACTATGATGTCAAAATGCCTGATTTCAGATTTAATTTAATGTAAACTAGCCAGGACGAAACTCTCTCTCTCTCTTTTGGAATTTTGCCTACATTTGATAAAGTTAGTGAGCTGGAATAATGGTAATGAAGATTGAATAACTGCAAATTCATTTTATAAAGCTGTCTCTCCTCCTCTGTTGCCAAACTTGGATCTTAAGGTCCCTAATAATTATCTTTATTGCTAGAATGCTGCACCTCGAGGTGGTTTTTCCCTACTTGTTGTAAAGATGTCATTCGAAAAGAACCAAATGAAGGGGTTTTCCTATGTGTAAGATGCACTGATGTTTCTTTCCCACAAGCTGTTGTGTCATCTTCTTGTTTTTGTGTGTTACTCCTCATGAAGGTTACAGGTTCTTACACTGAGGATGAGCCAAATTGTAAGATGCCACTAATTTTCTATGGGTATTGTACAAGAATTACAGGTAATCCTTCCTTTAAAAAGCACCTCACTTTGAACTAAAACCTTGGTTACTGCAGTTAATTGACTTTGTCAGTTTACTTGGCAAAGCCTTTCAGCTGCTCAGTTTCTATTGGAGTAGTTATGACAGTGGTGGTTGTCCAAAGGAAGGATAGAAATGCAGTGTAAATGGGTGAGGCCAGAGAGGACCTCTTTCTTAATGTCCAGTGTTCTTGGCTCTCAATCCACACTGCAACAATATAAATACCATAGCCTGTGTAACAAGCACATGGGAGTTGCACAAGTGGAGGTGAGGTCACTTTTGCAGGACTCCCTTGCATAATTATGTTGTCCTCAGTACATGTGAGTTGTGGGAATTGCCATTTTGCACATGACAAGGCTACAACAAATAAATTGCAGTAGCAATATAGATTCCTTCGGCCCATTTCAAACGTTTGACTTTTCATGTACTGAACCTATTCCCTTCAGTTAGCGATAAGTACTTAAAGAGATTGACTTTTGAGTCAGTTGAGTTTGACATATGTAACTTGGGTCAACCCATACTTAAGTTCAAGTGACCCACATAGGAATTTCTCTGGTGCAACTTTGTTTCAAACATCTGCATGTAACTTTTCATTTCTCAAATGTTATGCATAAATTACTATAATCTATTTTGACTGGTAAGCATTGCAGACCATTGTACATTGTAAAAATAAATATTGAGTCCGACTGATTAAGTTTGATGTCTGAATGAACCATCAAACTTCAGTGGCGGATCCAGTTTGAGGGGCCCAGAGGCCCGAGGCCCTTCTTATTTTTAGAACAAGCGAAAGACCGCCTCCCCCCCCCCTTCCCCCACCTTATCTGAAGGTCTGGATCTGCCTCTGAACTTATATTATTTGGGTCGACCCAAATATTTATTAAGTTCGTACGTGAGAGGTTCAACGTTTGAAGTAGTCCTTAATCAGCCACGTTGTATCCTGGATTTCTGTCTTTGGTCTCAGGCATTACACAAAAATAAGAGAGTAAATGTCAAATGAGAGTAAATGTCAAAGATATTGTTATTGACATACATGAATATATTTTTTTCTTCAGATTGCCATTACAAATTCACTGCTCATAGTTGACACTCACAAGACGTTTTGATGATAATTATTTTCCATTTCTGTTGTTTCAGGAACTTGAAGTCCTTCTTATGGCCAACAAGAGCTATGCTGCAGAAATTGCACACAATGTTTCCAGCAAGAAAAGGAAAGAAATTGTTGAACGTGCACAACAGCTGGCGATCAAGATCACTAATGCAAATGCAAGGCTGCGCAGTGAAGAAAATGAGTAGATAAACTGAGACAAAACAAGACAATTGTACCAACGTGTGTAGAAATAAATGCATTGTTTTGACATCTATGACTTCTTTTTTTACAGCTACATGTACAGGGGCTGGCAATAAGTAATACATGTTTTAGGGCTTTCAATATTGGTAACTAGAATAACGCTATAGTACTTCTTGTATAGTCTGCCACAAGCCGTTTTTTGTCATCACGCAACGTTCCTCGCCTCAAACAGCTGCTGAGAATCCAATCACATTTCTTTCCCTTTGTGGTCCAACGAACAAACCAATCATGGATAAGAAACTTGAGAAGACATAAGCCGCGGGACGCTAGGAAACGAACATGCTTCTCACGGTTTTGATTATTTGGTCATTGTCGCAAGGGGAAAGATTGGAGGAGTTACCATTCCGTAAATGTGGAGCGAATAACTTCCAGAAAATTTTTCATCACGTGAGGGGTCCTGTCTCCTGTATGATGTCTCTTTATGTTTCCGCACGTTGTGTCCTTGAACTTTCATTTTAAGAGTGTGGCACACAGGCCCCCAGTTCGGATCTCTATGCCCGTAAACATTGCGGCTCATCTCTGACATTCTCTATAGTGTATAGTGTTGAGATCTGTCCTTGGCAACAATTCATGAATCTATTGGAGCTCGTTCAAATAAACCCCTACAAGCATCATCATGCGCATGCTATTGTTTCATCATCTGCATCGTTTATAAAAGTATATAAATTCAATACAAGTGGGGGGTACTTCCTGTAATGGCCTACATGGGGAGGCTCTGCCCGAAAGGGGTACCTTTTTCTGGGTTCAAGTGTATGAAGGGGCAGGGATTTTACAAGATGAACAAGCCAACTAAGCAAAATCAGCAGAGCGAGTGACTTGAACAAACAAGAAATGCCTAAGAGAAATTTCAACAGAACAGATTCAATGACAACGGCAGCCGCATGAACAGAGCGTTGTCTGCCTGTTGTGAAGATGTAACTTCCCGTCCACAACTTCATTTCATTAACGACAAAATATTCGAAGGAAGTCTGTGTATTTGTCTGATATAATAGCGTCTGTCCTTTCTTGGCCTAAACTTCAGACTACCCTTTGAGTCGCATACGCCACTTCCACATTTCCCCTGATGCACCTCATTTACCCCCCCCGCCCCCCCAAAAAAATTTTGCATACATCCGTCCCAAGAAAAATTGCTTATGCAAAATTTGGGGTGGGGCTGGGGGGCAAATAAGGTGCATTATGGGAAATGTGGAAGTGGCGAATAAAAACGAGTGCGCGACTCGAAATGAGTATGCGCATGACGAGTATGCGTCTTCATTCCTTTCTGTGATTTCCTCCACAGGTGTTCCCCGAGTGTTACGTTTTAACTGCAATTTTGCTGCATTACACCTCATTTTGTGTCCAACTTTGCAGAAAGAATTGAACTCAAGTAAATTAAGGCATGGATAAACAGCTATTTTCCCTGCAAAAATGAAGGGGGTGGTCGTACTTTTCCTTAGCGTAAATCACTATGCTTCCGCATACTTCTGGGAAGACCTTTGTGTATCGGGCACTGATAACTGGCATTCTCAGACTTTCATGGCGGAGTACTGACTAGTGCACCACCGTATGGCACTATATTTACGCGGGATTTTATTTGCCGGTAAAAAGTTGGAATATCATTCTCGCAGCTGGATTTACACGTCAACTTTGACGGTCAACGGCCAACGCACAGGCATCGGTTCACGTTGCAAGATCTTGCAAAGCCCAAGCTGACGGCCGCCGTCATGAGTTACCCTAAGAGCTGTTTACCCATCTCGACAATATAATAATAATAATAATAATAATAATAATAATAACAATAATAATAATAATAATAATAAAAGAGAGGAAAGAAGTCTGCACAATTGAAATGAGCTGCCCATGGATTGAGAGTAGAGCTAAGAAAGATGTGGAAAAGACACTCCAGTATGGCCCATGATGTGGGAGCGGAAGCAGAGATACAATGGTTACAGGGTTGAACAGTACAACGTAATAATTGGCGTACTGGGGGGTTACTCTAAACACCTAGAGAAGTCGGTGAGGAAGCTACTTGGAGCAAGAGCACGGAGCTTACTTGAGCGGATGCAGAAGTCGGTCATCTCAAACACTTTAAACATTGCCAGAACATTTAAGATAAATACTTAGTTAGGGCGCTATGAACTTCAGTTTTCAGGGTTTTTTTTCTCTAGAAATCTAGAAGCACAAGCTTGCTGACGTTTTTACTTATATTTTTTAGAACATTAGAGTGTGATTTTATTATAAATATGTTTTTAGTAGAGATAGCGAAGGTTTTACAGAGTATCAGAATTTAATAATATTCTAAATTGGCTTTTTAAGTAGAGAGATTTATATCACTATGTATAAGCTTTTAGTAGAGATTGCGAAGGTTTTACAGAGTATCAGAATTAAAAATATTCTAAATTGGCTTTTTAAGTAGAGAGATTCATATCACTATGTATTTTAGGATTGTATTAGGTTTCGTATCGACCTTTTTTTACTTCTAAGTATAGCTTCTCAAGTGGTGTAGGTTACGCTCTGCGCCTTATACTACTCAAAATGTGGACAGCATTCCAAAGTTTCATACTGCGACATAATAATAATAATCGTTTATTCAACCTTTTTGCAGCATAAACTGAATCACAAGGCGGGTCATCAATTACATAAAAAAAAAAACGGAATTATGACACGTAAATATAACTGTTAATGTTAAGACATATCACATCTCGCTATTTTAAACGTTATTCTGGTATTTGATTACATCAACACCGACGGCGAAAAAAGCTCCCGTGGTAGCCTTCAACCTGTTAGTTTCACGGTCGGTTTGACGTTTTCCGCTGTCTCTGCTCTCTCCGGCATCTCTCGACATCTCCGACATGAAATTGAAGCTAACATATAACTTATTGATTAACAGCAACACCCTGTTTGAAAGAAGATGAAACTTGATTGGTGTACAATTTGTGAAGCTTCTTTTTTCGAACGTTCGATTACGTACGATTGCTAAATTGTTTGATTTCCAAAGTGACGTTCAATTTTGTTTGTTGGGCAAAAGTTTTGGTGAGTTCCATTATGTTCGATTACCAAACCCAATCGAAGTCAATCGAACGGCTGGAATAATATATTGAAGTTCGATTGGATTCGATTACCGAACGTTCGATTAGCTACGCCGGGGCTCCAACACATTTTTTACTTTTGGGCATTGACAACAACATAAAGGATCGTGGAGTTCGGGAGTCTAAAATGCTAAAAGAGTTTCATCAGTACGTACCATATCACCACCCACGCGGTACACGATTTGAGGAACAAAATATACCTCCTCGTACTTTTCCTTAACGTAAATCACCATGCTTCCGCATACTTGTGGCAAGACCTTTGTGTATTGAGCACTGATAACTGGCATTCTCAAACTTTCGTGCATGGCGGAGTACTGATTAGTGCACTACCGTATGGCAGTATCTTTTGGCGGGATTTTAATTTTGCGGTGGGAACTTTCTTAAATATTTGCCGGTAAAAAGTTGTAATATCATTCTCGCAGCTGGGAATTGATTTTTGCATTTCTAAGTGATCATGCTTTATTCAACACTCGGTATTGAACTGCTGATACAAGGTGCTAATAGTCAATTCAGGTTTGACCACCGCGGACACTGTTCTGGGCTCGTTCGTGAGAATTAGCACGTTAGAATAACTTTCATCGACTCTACACTGGCTGGCATCATTAAAGATGTTATGACATAACTATCTTATATTTGCCTTTGAGGCTCACATTTTATACGGTCGAATGCAAGTTTTATAGGACCTTGAACTGATTTATTGCTGAGTATATACGACACTGCAAGCACGGGTAAATCCTTATAAAACATAATTCTGCCAAAATCTTTGCACATCACTCACTAAACAGACATATTTTCAAGGAAAAGACTCTGACAAAGTTTTAAAAACCTTCACCAGTGAATTTACGCTAACCGGACACCGCACACAATGACGAATCACTGGAGAATGGCACCGGACACCGGACACAATGACGAATCACTGGAGAATGGCACCGGACACCGCACACAATGACGAATCACTGGAGAATGGAATCCAACAAAGGAAGTGTTTCAGTAGTCGTATTCTTCAACCGAAACGAAAACAGGGACTTCCTGTGCAATTAATTACTTGCATAGTTAGACTTTGAAGTATTGGTTGCCTGTGGATACGTTAAATGAACAGGAAGAGTTTAGTAAGTTTACATTGAAATTATTGCCAGTGACTGAGCAAGTTTCATTTAATAGTACACTGACATTCTGCTATAAAGACAAGCTGAGTTGCACTTCAATAATTGGTATGTCTATTTCACTTTGATTTTGTTACTTACATTTGTTTTTTTTTTCCTTTAACTGGCGGAGCCGCGATAAATTCAGCTATCGGGCCGCGTTATGGCCATGAGTTCATGGACGTGTAAACTAGTTAACTTGGCCTTAGTTTTTTTGTGTGTTATTCAGTAGACCTGACTGAAGTTTATATCGCTTTCAAATATTTTCTTTGACCATGGCTTATTACTTTACACTGAATTTGACGAATTGGGATGTTTTAGTCAGTGTTTTAGTATCAGCAAAAGGCTCATGCCATTTTTTTTGGCTCTTTGTGTTTAATTGCTTCGTGTACACAAATACTTCTGGAAAAAGCCAGCAGTTTTTCAGCAAACACACTTACTTTCAATAATAACAAAGTACTGAATCACGTAGTTTCCGCGCCAAAACAGGTCATTGGACCTTTTTGAAGCAAAGGCAGCTGGAATGTTTTATATAGGGTCAACTCTCTTTCCTATACTGTCCGTCACTACAAAAAGTTCCAATACCTGCTGCATCTCTCTACCGATATAGTTAGTGTTACATAAGAGCTCGTTGAATGTAAGGGGACATATTCTTCCCGACGAAATAAAAATGATACAGTATATCAGCCTCGACAAAAGAGTATTGTTTGAGGTCAAATTCTCCGCCATTCAACA